CTCATCTACCAGGAAACTGAGGTTCAGAGAGGCAAAGTAATATCCCCCATGAAAACACAGTGTATTAATAATAGCTGACATAAGGCTAATTTCCAAACTGTGATGATAACTCATACCCTCCCTTTCCCACTTCATCATTCGGACACCAGTCACCCACGTGGCACTTTCTCTCTCTGAGAAAACCCTAAACACTCAGAGTTGTTGGGTCTCTACAAGTTAGGACTCTCTCCTTCCAGCTCCTGCCAAATAAGCCATCGTCAGCCTCTCTGCTAGTTCTCACTGTCCCCAGTAATTTCGATAATTCACTAGAATGACTGACAGAACACACAGAAAGTACTTCCTATACTTACAGTTACCCATTTATTATAACCAGAAATGCTACAAGCACAGAGACGCATCAGGTAAGGTCTGGGAGAGCTCCCGGTACAGGGCCTCCACTGTCCCCAGGGACATGATGTTCCCTCTCCAGTGCATGGATGTTTACATCGATACAAGAGGCTCCAAAAAGACTTCTCCAAAGTCCCCCGGGTCCCCTAGTCATTGAGATCTCAATGAATATTCATGACTTGGGCTTAAATGCATAGTTATGATTGATCCAATCGATGAACATGCATGACTGCATTAGGCACCCCCTCCCTTCCTGAAGTTAGTCCAGGTGTGGGGCCTGTGTAGCCCCTACTTATCCAGCTATTTTGGAAAACAAAGGCATCTTGACTGCTCCAGTTATTTTCAGAAACCAATCAAAGGGCCAAACCAAATTCTTTGTCCCCCACACAGCCATGGCCTCATCAATTTGTTATGCTGCTCTCTGGGGGTGCAAGAGACCCTGTCAGAACCCCTGGGAAGGAAATGAGCATGGGCAATATTGTCCTCATTTTAGACATGAAATCCTACCAGAGGTAAAGTGGCTTGCCCAAGGTCACACAATGGCAAGGTCAGGGACAGTAAGACAGAGGCTTTCAGGCTTCTGTTTCCACGGCACCATGCTGTGGCTGCTGATTTCCCTCCTCTTGGAAGGCAGTGAACAGACCTGGCTCTAATTTACTAGCATAATAATTACCTTGTCCTTCCACTTTTGAAGGTCTTTCTCCTCTTCTCTGACTAGCCATAGCTTGAGTGATAATTCCAAACAAGGAGCTGAGTTAATCTTTAGTCTTGGCATAAAGGAGAAGGGTAATGGACAAGAACAAAGAAACAAACTCCTCTAGCCAGGAAAACTCACCCAGAACACGCTGCACAAAAAACACCTCTATTTTCACACAGCCTGCCATACGTCGTCGTCACTGGATGGCCACAAGATTAGCGGGTGTTTTGCTATCATTTACATAAACAAATTCAGAGAAAGATGTTAAAATTGCATTTGTCTTGTCCATGTCTCAAAAGGGCAACTCTTAACTAGGAAAAAAAATTATATTTTAACTCTCATTATTGGGAAACATGAGTGCTTAGGCACAAAGACTTTGCCAAATGCCACATTTCCAGGAATGGAGCTAGGAGGGACCCTCTGTGCAAGTGGCACTGCAGATGTGCCCAGAACACAGCCCTGCCTGTGCAGGGGAAGGCTAAGCCTCAAGGCTGGCTACAGAGCCAGTTCCAAGTAACTTGCCCGCATGCTTCCTGTGCTCAGTAGTTGTAAGTAAAACTGGGGATACCTGGCTTAACCTGGCAGTTCCACAACAGCATCAACCTGGCATGTCTTCTAATATTCAGGCCATCAGACGCAGACAGACCTTCCAATCAAGGAGATCAGTCAAGGTGTTTCTTTCACACTCTTCAGGACAAAGAAAAGGGTGTCATCCTGAGTAGCATTCCAAAGGACTAGGGGCGGGTCACCATATACCAAGCCTATTTCAAAGATATAAGACGTAAGACCCCACTCTAGGTTGAGTTTGGGGCACGGAGTCAAATTTGCAGCCACTCAACATCTTTTGGACTACCTTCCTCTGTTTGTCATTTCCTACATCTTGAGCCCCACTTTCTCAGTGTTGCCATAATTCATTTTCCCAGCATCTCTTGCTGTTAGGATGTAGAAATGTGACCTAGGCTCCACATATCAGATGGACCCATGGCAATATGGTGATTCAGAAGGAAACAAAGTAAGGAAGTAAGCACGAGAATCTACTTTGAGAAGCTTGCAGCAGGATCCCCTGGGTTCTTAGGAACAGCTGTGAAGAAGCTTCCAGTGTTTGGACACTGATGTTGCCAGTGTGAGCTATAGTATCAGTGCAATGGTGGCAGCAATGGCGTCTTCCCTGAAGCCACCCAGAAGTATGGTCGGGTGTTGTTTCAACTGGGGGCAGTGTTACAACCTGCGACTGATGTCCTTGCATGAATCAAACTCAATGCACCAAAGGTGCAAATGTACATGCTAAGTAGAACAATAAGTACCTTTACCCAGAAGCTTCTGGTAGGTAGCTGGGACAGTGGAGGAATGCAGGCTTGGTAATCGGTCACACCTGTGTTCAAACCTGGCTCCACCATTTACTGGTTCTGTCCTGCTGGATATATAATTAACTCCTGACCCTCAGTTGTCTCAAATAAAAAATGGAGACAATAATGTCCAATAACATGACTGTTGTGAGAATTAACTAATAAGATACTGTGAATAAGGTACCTGGTATTGCACTTGGAATAGTAGGGGCTCCATAAATGTTTTTTCTTCTCCGCCCTTTACTCTTAATACTGTTGCCTAATATATTAGCTATTTTTTCCCCCTAAGATGCCATCTCCAAATCATCCAAGTTTTTGTAAGAAAGAAAAAAAGTCAAACAGGACAAGGTCTTCAAGCATAACACCACTAGACACATTTTTCAAGTTGACAATGATCTACTCATAACACTCCTGGGGTCTGTTTGATCAACGAGCCATGAAGTCATCCAATTAGACTGTCATCCAGCCTGCATTTTGACATCTTGTATAAAAGCGATGTCATTGTTAAATACTTGGTAAAAACAACAGCAATGGTATTTCCCTAAGTCTATCAGTCTAAAAATGTTAATTAAACACACACACACACACACAATGATGTGCAAAATCTGGTGTGACCTAATAATGACATCCCCTCACGTGTGTACAGCTTAGGGTGACTTCCAGAATCTTTCCCACACATTTGGTGTGGCCCTCAGAATGATTCTGGAGACAAGAAGGGTCTCGTTGGAGAACCCTGCTGGTTCCTACGAAGGACTCTGGTCTTCTCAGTGCTCACAGCCACACGATACAGGAATCCACTCTGGGATCCTGCCATTTACCTGGCCACCAATCCTAAGAACCGAGAAAATGCTAAGTGCTGGGCGTTCAGACCTAGTGGAGCTTCAGCAGCAGTACAGAGGGACAATTATAGGAACAATGACCATAAATTGTGACCAGTGGTAAAACAGGGAAAGCCCAGGAACCTACGGATACACACTGGAATTAGGGAGCTACATGGAATTAACCCTAAGAAGATTCCAATTTTTCCCCCTTCTTTGAGCCATTTATGAAAATTCAGTACTCTCAGACAGTATTCAGCTGGCTGTAGTATTTTTTTTCACTCAAGCAAGGTAGTTTCAAACAATTTCCGGGGCGGGGGGGTGGGGCACAGCCTGAACACCAGATTAAAATAGCTGTGCATTATCTGGAAAGCAACAGGGGGCCTCTGAAGTTTTCTCTGAGGAGGAGGGTGATGAGATCAGAGAGATGCTTGGTTCAAGATGGATAAGAGGCAGAGAAGGAGGCAGGGGTCCCACAGATGGCTGTTTCAATAGTTTAATAAATATTTAGAAATGGCTGATGGCATGGTGCAGTGCAATTACTTACTTTTATATGTGGCCTTTCTAGCCACCATCTTGTAACTCCCACCCCGGTAATTGTGTGTGATAGGGTAATTGTAGCCTACCAAGGGGATTGGTCAGTTTTGCCTTAAAAGAGAACCAATTCCAGAGAAGAGGGGAGCAGCCCAACAGCACCAAGGAAGGAGAGACCAGGGGGAGAGACCTGGCAGGGAGAGACCCGGCAGCAGGAGTCGGTGCGGTGGGCTTCCTGGCCCATGGAGAGAGAAAGCTGAGTGCCTTTGGGGAGATGCCTAGGACAAGGGAGAAGCGTGCCTGTGAGCACTGTTGGGAAGAGGCGGTCCTGATGAAAGAACTGCATCCTGGGTGTCCCTGAGCCTGAATTATAACTGTTACTTCCCTAATAAACCCCATAATCGTGAGTATGGTCTGGGAGATATATGTGGCCATTGCAATGAATTATCAAACCCAGCAGAGAAGTAGAGAGTGCTGTGGGAGGGATGGTAAAGATGGCAAAGAGAGTAGGCATGTCCGACCCATGCCTCATAGGAATCAGCCTTGGGCTGTTGATCTTGGTTCTCCTTCCCCCTTGTGGGGTTGGAGGAGGTCAGACACTACCCCCAAGCCTATTTACACATGAGTATATTCACACAGAGATTCTACTTTCTATATGCATCTCTGACTTTTTATATGTGCACTGCTTTCTTCAGACTCACAGCATAAAGAAGTACAAAGTCATTCTGGAGGTAGACTAAAAAGAACATGCTGTTAATTAACATAATAATTATTTTCTCCACTGTAATGAGTTTAAAAGATTATACACACTAGGGCATCTGCCAAGAAAACTATAAATATCCAGCAAATTATTATTGAAAACAATTTTTAAAATAGTTGCCAATCGCTAAAAATCTGGGAAATGTCAATTTAATGGTGATATCTGGTTTAAAAACAAAAAAAAACTTAGAATGTAAATACCATATGCTTGATTAAACTATTCCAGAAATTTTCCCAGGGCAGGACACACCAAGTGGGCTTGTCCAGAGAAGTTACTCAAAATGGAAAAGGGTTTGCAGTCACCACTGGCAGGTCATTGGCATCTTCTTTCTTTTTGTGTGACTGTGAGTGAAGAGAAGGTAAGAGCTATGGTGGTTTGTCTGTACTATGTTAAAGCCTCATAGCCACCCATTTCCTGGCAGGTGCGGGCCAGTCAGCAGGAATGATTGCTACTCTTACCCAGTGTCATCCTGGAAGCCTTCTAGCTCGTCCCGCTGCTCTGCCAGCGTCGCTTCCAAATCCAGGTAGGCACCATTGTGGGAGAGCTGCAGCGTGCAGTCATCAAGCTGTAAGAGAAAGAGCTCCTGATCAGCCCAGCCAGCTCCTGAGAGGGGGACTCTATGGAGAAATCAATTTGTGGTACCCTCATGTGTTTCTTAAAATCAAGCATTATTCTGAAATTTGGATCATAACTGGAAAAGGTAGCATGTTAGTGCAGAGACATTGGGAGCAAACTGCATTCAGAATGGGCAGATATGACATCTGTTAAGTGGCACTGACAGAGCACAACAGACATGGATGGGTGTGGATGGGGTGGAGAAGGAGCACCATGGGTGACACTTCCCACTCTGAGGAGTCCAGGAGAAGCCATGGATTTGGGGAATGAGAACCAAGATCCCAATGCTGATGTGCCCAGGAACTCAAGAGTTTAAAGGCAAATTTGGTGGAGAAAACCGTGGTTTCCTTTGCTTCAGTAGAAGCCCTACCTATTCAGATTCTAAGGTGGTAACCAGACACGTTACAATTAATGGCTGCTCAACAGACAGTTTTACAACTGAAATGAAAGAAACATTCTCCATCTGAATGGCAACTTATTCAAATTACAACATACAGAGGAGAAAATTAAATCTGTTACTAGTCTCTTTTTTTTTTTTTTAATTTAACAAACACTTGTATGGTGTTAATTATGTTTCCAGCACTGCTCTAAGCATTTTACATGTCTTTTGATTCTCAAAAGAACCCTATAAGTTCTACTGTTATCCCCATTTTACAGATGGGGAAACTGAGGCACAGGAAGAGAATAAGTTACTTGCCCAATGTTGTCATCTGGTGAACGGTAGTGCTGGGATTGGGATGTTGGCAGGTTGGTTCGAGGTCATACTATCAACTACTACACTCTGCATCCTCTCTACAGCCCCAGACCTACATGGGACTTGAAAATCTGCTTGCCAAATGCAGTCTGTGTCATCTGAGTGTTCTGGTATGACTGCAGCAATGCTACTTGGTCGCCACTCCCTTCTCCTCCTGGGCATGCAGGCCACATAGCCCAGCCTGCCTCTAGTTGGGGTGCAGCCACATAACTGAGTACCACCCACTGGAGCATGGGCAAAAGTGAAGTAGGCCCCCAACATCCCTGGCCATAACACCTCCTGCGCAACTGTCCACATTTCGTCCCTTGCCTACAGCCAGAGGAGCCAGAGGACTCTGAAGCCTAGAAAACAGCAGAGCCCAAAGGGAAGGAATCTGGGTCCCTGAATCACTGCCTGGAAGAGAATACTTTGCTGCCCAGCCTCCACCGACTCATCCTGCACTGTGACATGAGCTAGAAATAAGCCTGTGCTTTGCTAAGTCCATGGAGCCCTGGTAGCATAGTGGTTAAAAGTGTTCGGTTGCTAACCAAAAGGTCAGCAGTTGAACCCACCAGCCACTCTACGGGAGAAAGATGTAGCTGTCTGCTTCCATCAAGATTTACAGCGTTGGAAACCCTATGGGGTCGCTATGTGTCAAAACTGACTCTACAGCAGTGGGTTTTGGGTGGATGCTAAGTCTCAGATTTTGCAGTTGTTTGTTACAGTGGCTAGCATTATATTACATTTATAATGACTAATCCATTTAGAAACACAGGAAGATAATTTTACCAAAGAAGATTGAGATTCACATTATGAGAAAATTCAAATTTATAACTTCCTGTTTGATTTCTCAGGCTGTAAGGATGACTTGTATTATTCATCTACATGGTGATTAAGGTTCTCATCACAGAATTACAGGAGATTTGCGAAAAGTGGAGACAAATATGTGGCTACTTAAAAACATCCAGGTAAATGCCTGATAATCCTCACCCTATAAGTGAGACTTCAAAGAAGGAATTAGCCTCTTTTGATAGAAAAGCTTTGCTTATTATCCTCAACAAGAAAAATGTAGACCGTGATCTTGTTTAGAATGGGCATCAATAACAGGCTGTTAATTCTCGTAGAGACCTCATAGAGTTCCTTGTTTCTTGTTATCCTCAACAGAATGAAAGGAATTTGTTCTTTATTATTTGAGAGAAATACCTAGTTAAATCATTTGAAGGGGTTAATCCTATTTGATTCACTTGTTTTATTTCCCTAATAAAAAACTGTTCCCTAATGCTTGCGATCACTAGCCATTAGAGAAACGCAAATTAAAACCACAATGAGATACCATCTCACCCTGGCATTACTGGCACGAATCAAAAACACCGGAAATAACAAATGTTGGAGGGGCTGCAGGGAGATC